AGTACAACCCAAAGGAGAAAGTAGGAAATTTCTCTAATATAAGATTCAGGTCAGAAACAATTGAAGTAATATAAAGATATTCTTCATTATTATCATTCATAGTCTTAATATGAAATCCATTACGATGTATATCTTTGAAACTTAGCAGATTTCTTCTGGATATAACTGAATATAAAGCGTCGTTTATATGAATTTTTGTTCCATTTTGTAACATGATAAAGCTCTTATGAAACCTTCAATCAGGTTTGCAGAACCCGATATTGTATTTACATTAGCTTTGACTAATATTAAGTTAGAGAAAAAAATTTTATGTCGAAGGACTGTATGGGTTGCGTCACTGTCTACCAGGCATGCAACTTTACTATTCATTTTAGAATTGAATAGTTAATAAATAAGGTCTAGTCCTTTTCATCCATAAAAATNAATCAACTGATTAGCAATTCTTTGGAGATGAATAACCCTTTGTACTTCAATTTTACATTGGGGAGTGCATGGATCAAGATGAGACATAGTTTTTGAAGTCCAAGAAAGCCCACGCCGTTCTTTAGCAAGCGACATATTTCCTCCCCTTAACGGCGAGAATACTGTCTCATCAAAATGACAATCTGTAAATCTTGCAGTAAAAACATCTCCTATCAAATATGCAAGATACCTAATAATTGAAGGTGAATTATACCCGACATAAATTACTAGTTGATGTTGTGAACCCATCTTAGTGCACTGTGGGGTGCAATTGAGACATATATAGTATAACCAAATATTCGTAAGTGAAAAATATCTAGGAGTTGACCAAGTACCATGGGCGGCCCAACATATTTGGGGGCCCTATTAATATATTTTACAATAATATAAATAATTGTCAAAAATTAAATTATTTAATATTTTTTCTTTTTCTTTTTTGAGATTCAAAAATATTAATTGACTTTTTAAATTCAAGTTTTATACATTAAAATTCAATTAGCAAAAGTCGAATCCTTGACCAAATATAATTACGTTAATTTTCTTTTAAAGATAATGACAAAGAGAATGAAAATTTAAACTAACCAACAAAATGAATTTTTTTTTCAGAACAAATGTAAAGTTAAAATTTGTGTAAGTTAAATCGTATTATAATATGTGAAACATGTTTTAATATTGCAGAGAACCGTTGAAATGTTTTAACTAAGAAATTTTAGCAAGACAATTATGGTTATAATTAGTTTCAGATAGTGAGATACTTCTACTCACTCTATTCTATAGCCATTTTTGAACGCTTTAAAAAATAATTAAGTTAAAATCTATCCTAAATTTGAAGTAACCTCAAATTTAATCTAAAAAAATATAAAGTTATAATTTATAACTATTAGTTAATAGACAATGAATTATATAGTTTTTTTTTTATAATAAGATAGAAAAATATTTTATTAGGTGAAAACACATATTTTTCATATGCCATAAACATTGGACAAAGATAAAACACATGAGCTCAAACTTTAGGGCCCTAAATATTTTTGTAAGAAATTCTAAAAATTTTAAAATACTATTACTTGTATTTAATCTAGGGACCTAATTTTGACACTTAATAAATTATGTTTATTTGATTTTTAGTAAACTTATTCAATGGTATTTTTTCTTACTAATTTAATGGTAAAAATGCATTAAGTTCTCAAATTAAACCCAAAAATTAAGTCTAGTAAAATGGTATAAAAATTTAATTTAGGGCCCCAAAATTTTTGTCCCATTTGGGGGCCCTAGGCAATGGTTTAGTGCATGGGCCAGCACTACCAAATACGAGTTGTATTGGAGGGTATTAATGGTAAGCAGTTAGTCAGATATGAACTAAGGTTGCTGTGTGTAATATTGTATGTTCCCAAGTAGAAATTGGTAACTTTGTTTCTGCATGTCTACTGGGATAGATGTGGAACACTCAGTTGCTCACATCCATACCCAAAATGGTTTAGCTGAGTCTCTTATCAGACTTCAGTTGAGTACCATCGTGTTGAGCGTTAATTAAGACCACAAAATATTGTAATGGTCTGCATGATATGTGTATAGGTCCACAAATATCTCCTTGAATTCTTTGTAGAAAGGTTGGATTCAACATTGACTTTTGTTAGAGATGGTCTAATCAATTTTTCTTATGAGCAAACATTACATGTGTAATCACTCGGCAAAATAATCTTCTGATTCTTTAGAGGATGTCCATGCGAGTTATTGATGATTTGATTCATTATTATTGACCTAGGGTAACCAAGTCGATCATGCCAAAGTACGGAAGTCTTTCGATTAGAGAGCTTCTGACTCATGACAATATTTGATTCAATTGTTCTTATTGTTATACAGTACAACCCAAAGGAGAAAGTAGGAAATTTCTCTAATATAAGATTCAGGTCAGAAACAATTGAAGTAATATAAAGATATTCTTCATTATTATCATTCATAGTCTTAATATGAAATCCATTACGATGTATATCTTTGAAACTTAGCAGATTTCTTCTGGATATAACTGAATATAAAGCGTCGTTTATATGAATTTTTGTTCCATTTTGTAACATGATAAAGCTCTTATGAAACCTTCAATCAGGTTTGCAGAACCCGATATTGTATTTACATTAGCTTTGACTAATATTAAGTTAGAGAAAACAAATTTATGTCGAAGGATTGTATGGGTTGCGTCACTGTCTACCAGACATGCAACTTTACTATTCATTTTAGAATTGAACAGTTAATAAATAAGGTCTAGTCCTTTTCATCCATAAAAACAAAATCAAAATAAACTTAAATTGAAATAAAATATCTTAAAAATAAAGGAAATTCGTACTTAAAAACTTAGAAAAGATAATACGATAAGGAAAATAACACTAATCGATGTGGACATTTTCATCACCAATCAAATGATCAATTTTGTCATTAGGATTAGCAAAGAAATTAGAAACATCAAGGTGAGTTATGTCAATTGAATAGGGAACATCAAGGCAAGTAAGATTCACTAGTTCACGGTGATCAATGAAATTTATTTTTATTTTCTTTCCTTTTTTCCTTTATAAATACTTGGTAAAAGTTTACCAAATGTTTGGGCGTACAACATGTACGTGACCATTGTCTTTTCATAGCACACCTATGACAAATTTCTTCATAGTTCTTGGACGATTTTTTCAACAAACTCGTCCCTTTATATTGTTTTACATCTTTGTTTGCCCACTTCTGGTGATAAGTTTTATTATTATTACCACGATGTCGATTATCATTTTGATCACGATCATGGTATAAGGTGGCATTTGCGAAAATGCTATAGAACTAGTCAGACAAGATTCATGATTTTTCATCAAAAGCTCGTCATTTTGCTTAGCTACAAGGAGACATGATATCAAGTCATAATATATTAGTGAACTTACGCTATATTGTTGTTGTAGGAGTACATTAGAGACATGAAGAATAGAAAATGTTTTCTCTAACATGTCTTTATCAGTAGTTGTTTTTCCATATAATGTCAATTGTGAGTCGATTTTGAATAGCGCGAAATAATAATCATTCATTTTTTAAATATTTTGCAACCTCAGGTGTATCCATTCATGTCGAACATTTGGAATTGTTATTTTAATTTATCCCAAATGAAAAGTGGATTATTTTTCGTGAGATATTTATTTTCCAATCCTTCATGAATGTGATGACGAAGGAATATCATTGTTTTTATACGATTATGCATGTTTCATTTTTTTTTTTTGATAGTATCACCAAGATTCATGACTGCCAAATGGATCTCATCTTCAAGGATCTAAGAAAAATAGGGAGATATTTATTTTTCAATCCCTTATGAAGGTGATGACAAAAGAATATCATTGTTTTTAGAGTAATACTATTTACACCTAAAAACCTGACATAATTTGTTGACATAATAATGTGGCTTCAGTAGAACTATTGGATTAATATCAAGTTTCAATATTTGATAGACCCCACAATCAATCCAAAGGTCATAGTGAATTAGATCAGCAAATTATGTCAATAAATTAGGTCTCAATAGCATTGCTCTTGTTTTTATATGATCTGTAATGATGCATCATTTCCTTCTTTGATAGTATCATCAAGATTCATGACTGTCAAATGAATCTCATCCTTAAGGATCTAAGAAAAATAGTTGTTGCCTAAATTATCAAGAGCGATAATCTCAAGTTTTGTAAGTTCAATATGATCCCCTATTGCAAAAACTCAAAATTTCTTGAAACTAGATCTCCCTTTTAATCTTAGTAAGGAAGATCTTAATCTTGGTAAGTAAGAGAATTATAGAGACTACAAAAAGAATATAGAGAATATATATACTAGAGAAATAAATTTTTATATATTTCTCAATGTGGTGAAAACTTATTTTTACAGGCTTCAATTATAATGGTCATCAAATACAATATTAACTTTGATAAGATTATAGAGTCAAATACTCAAATCTTAATGGTCATCAAGTATAATATTAACTCTAATATATATTATAGAGTCAAATTCTAGCATCATCTATTAAAATGGTAGACTAGAGTTCATTCGTATCTATATACGATTTGTTTGGTTGTCGTATTGTAGATGAATGAACTGTATTAGATAATACACGTGCTAATTCCGTATAGGTGGATAAAATACAAGATTAAATATGAGATAAAAATATTACACATTGTAATCCATTGTTTTAAGACACTGGATTAAGAATGAGATAATAGAGTAACAATTATATATTGACTAAAAAATCATCAATTTTATATAGTTATTAATATTTTTGTTTTTCTATTGAGTAAAATAGTAAATTTACAACTTAATATGCTTGAATTAAACTATAATATCATCTCTCCAATTGTATTATAATCGGTTTAAGAGTACGAATATAGTATATTATTTGAATAAACAGTATATTATATAAATAAGAATTTGAAATAAAACTATATGTAAGACAAAATATTTTTACAACTAAATATTGTATAAAATTAAATTAAAGAGTCTTAAAATTATTTTTGTTAAACCACGGCGGAGCAATGTTTAGCTGAAAACCGCGGAGGTGAACTTCACATCTCTTTTTCTGCTCCGCGGCTCCTTTGCAATCTTTGTCGGTGTATACATATACACGCACACGCGTATACATATACACACACAAATCTCTCTCTCTCTCTCTCTCAATGAGATGGTGAGGGCAGGTACCGGGAAGCGTAGAACGACGAACTTTGTGTGGATTTGCGTAGGGCTTCTGGGAGCGGGTCTGATCGCAGATCTGTTGTGGGCGTCATCTTCTTCGTCTTCTTCTGTATATCACTCGATCGCATCTAATTGGCTTCCCAGTAAATCCGACACCTTGATTTTACCGAAAACAATTCTTCAAAATAACACTACCAAGGTAAGTAAAGCTCTCATTCACTCCGCCCCAATATACTGTGACTTGTCAGATCAATTAGCAACTTTCTTCAACTCTTTCGGTACTGGCAATGCTTGCTGGAATTCGTTTTGCTCTGGAATGGATTTTTCGTTAGACACGATTTCTACTCCAGGAAACTCGGATAGTCGCGTGCAATGAGGAGATTTGCTTCGGGGAAAAAAAATTGTACTCCTGGAAACTGTTTTCTTATGAAACAAATGGTGCCCAAGTGATGGTTGGGTGGTACTACCTGCATCGTTTTTATGGAATATAGTTGGATATATCATTCTAATATACTCTTGAAGTTGTATATAATACTTGAATCTCCTTGGTAAATAGGGAATTTAATAACGAGAAATTATGATTATTCAATTTAGATATTCATGTGCTCTTATACAATTATACGTAATACTATTCGTTGGGATATTAGAAATGTACTAAAAATTTCATACAGTATGATTCTATGGAAAAAAATGTGGGATGGTTTACTTCCAACTGGTTTTGCTGTCCACCCATGATATAGTAATGAAATCCAATCCTCCATTGTCTTTCATAGGGGCCTTCCAAAGATAAAAAAGATGGTTTACCAGAAAGGGTCTTAACAGCAACTTTTGCTGATTTGCCTGCCCCAGAACTGAAGTGGGAGAAGATGGCTTCAGCACCGGTGCCACGGCTCGATGGAGCAGCAATACAGATCAACAATCTTCTGTATGTGTTTGCTGGATACGGAACCATTGATTACGTGAGAACCTTGACCAGCTCCACTTTATTATGTTCTGAAGTTAGCTATGTTGAATTATTTTCTGCCTCAGTTTATCGTTAAAATTTGTTTATGCTTATTGAATCAAGTTTCTTTCATTCTTTCCTTCCTAATTTTTGTCACCATTTTTTTTTGGCGTTAACATCAAATGTTTTCATGTTTATATGTTCTCAATGTCTAAGTTGAAAATAAATAAGCATAGCAAGAGCAACAACTCTACTCCTTTACATTCTCTGGTGTTGTTAAAAATTTGCAGTACATGAGATGTGATGACATAACGAGTGAAACACTAACACATCGAGAAGGTCTGGCAACTTATTTATGCACTCTATGCAACCTTACCTCAACTACATGAGATTGACAGCACAAGTTGAGATCAGTTGATTGACTGATGGGTATTAAGTATAGCAATATCCCAGCTGCTTGGGTTGACAGTATAAAGTGCTTCATTAGCCTGGTTTGTTGTAAAGCTTGCACATCACAATATCAGGTGCCACTGTGTGATATCTGTTTTAGTTCTAAACTGGTTGCCTAAGTTCTCTTTTTTGTCTGAACATGGCATCGGCAATGCAACTTACTACTTAGGAAACTTTATATGTGTGTGCACGAGCATGCGTTCTCTATGCTTGTGTGTGTTTTGCCTCTTTTTGAACTTCTTTTTCATGTTTTATAGGTGCACTCTCATGTTGATATTTACAATTTTACGGATAACACGTGGGGAGGAAGGTTTGATATGCCAAAAGAAATGGCGCATTCGCATCTAGGAATGGCGACAGATGGAAGGTACATTTACATAGTCAATGGACAATATGGCCCACAGTGTAGAGGGCCTACCGCACATACATTTGTGCTGGATACTGAAACAAAGCAATGGCAGAAGATGCCCCCTTTACCAGTCCCTAGGTATGCACCATGATCAAGATGTGAATGGATTTATTTTTATGATTTCATATGTTGACATCACACACGTGGTATCAGTTTTTGGTGAATTTGTTTACACACAAAGACTCAGATTTGTTCGTTGCTCTTTTGTTATTTCCCTATTAGTTTAGATAAGGTATGACATCAATGCATTTTTTAACTTCTATTATTCATATGGTGGTAATTACGAAATGTCTAAGCATAGTTGACTCGCATTCATCAATCATGAGGATTGTTGCCACTCCTTAAGGTTGTGTTGTATCATACAAAGTTTCCTTTGAGTCCCAATTCCAATATGCTCCCCATGCTTCAGTAGCCCATACTGCTCTGGTTGTGATAATCCCACATAAATACTGAGAAACATGTACCCAGCACTCCAGCAAGGGCACTGAAGATGACATATAGAGTCCCTATATCCATATCCTTGTGGTTATTACTTCTTTTCTTGAACATATGTACTCCTTTTCAAGTTCCCTCTTAAGTACGTTTGACAACTGAATGATGTAGCCTTACCATGGAAATAAGGATGTCAGCCACATGGCCTGACTGCTGTGAAATGAGTGACGGGGCTTTCATTTTTGCTTTCTAATATGTGATGGATTCAAAAAGACCTACCTAAATACAGGGAGAAAGGAAAAAAGGAGGAAAGAAGTACAATAGAGACTGCGAATTTGATAACTAATCATGCTGGTGTGATCTGCAGGAGCAAGCAGTCTTTCTCAGTTTTTCCAAATGCAGTGTATTCTGATGTATGTTGTAATAATTCTTATAATACTAAATAATAGTAATAGTAGTAATATTAGAATACTATTTTATATTTTCCATGTTTTCAATATAAATCAGTTTAGGACCAGTGTGGAACTATCATTGTTGTCAAATAACTTGGTGGAGCTGACATCTGGGATCCTCTTTCCCAATCCAATCTATGAAACCATGTTTTTAACTAGCTTCTTACGGTCATTAGAAATGTTCCAGATAATTTCCCAGAAATTATGCAGAACTACAGCATACTATGCTCGCTAGTTCATACTTGCAACTCAATCTGGCCAAAATGCAGTACATTCAATGACTTGAATAGATGTTACCTGTACTAAATCAAGTTGTCTTTGCTTACGTTCAACTTGAGCGAATACCCCTAATGTGTTGATTTCAGGTATGCACCAGCAACCCAGCTTTGGAGAGGTAGACTCCATGTGATGGGTGGCAGCAAAGAGAATCGACATACACCTGCCTTAGATCATTGGAGTCTTGCAGTGAAGGATGGAAAAGCTTTAGAAAAGGAATGGAAGACTGAAATAGACATACCACGTGGAGGCCCGCATAGGTTTTTTGGCTAGTTTCTTCATGAAATTATTTTTATTATGAAGTGTGAAGATTTTCTCTAGCTAAATATCAAAATTTAATCACAGCAGTATCTTGTGTGCTTGAAATGTGGAGATCAAGAGATGGCCTTGTGGTGCATATCCATCCCATTGCTGGGGGCAAGGGTTTGAGTTTCACTCAAGTTGATGTTCCCTCTTCCCCAAGTTGATATGCACAAGGAAAAAAGAAAAATAAATAATAAATTGAAACCGTGATGATCAAATACACAATTCTGTTCTATTTGGTGATATAATTTCTAATTATTTATTGCTAACAAATGGAATAAGTTGAGATAACTACAACGATATTGTGCTTTTGATTATTGAGGCCATCCACTTTGTGAAAAAACTTCTAAACTCTAAAGGGTAGGTTTGCACTTAGTCTACTCCGCCCAGAATTCTCTTACATAATGGGGACCTACTTGGGTGATGGACTTTAAAGGGGTTGGGTTGTCTAGAGCGGTGAGATCGTGGATTTGAATATGAGGGTAGTCACTTTCTGAGAATAATGTCTATTGATGTTTAACAGTGACCAAACTGCGCAGTGTTCATAGGTTCTCCAAAAACATTGTATTGATAATTTACATCTTAAGCTTCGCTCCTTCATCACCAATTTTTTCTTTTTCTTGTATTGCAACTGGAGTAGCTTGTTATTTTAAAACTTTGTTTTTTGCTTCCAACTTTCCCTGTTGTCGTGGTCAATTTTCCCTTATTAGCCAGTTCTCTTTGAAATGATTTTCCATATTCTGCATATATATGTGTAGAAGCATGAGATGGGAATTTACACCATATAAGTACTGATAAAAAAAATATGAAAAATTGATTGATCTACTATAAGACAACGTTAGAATTCTAAAACAATTGATTCACTGTGCAATACAATTGGTTTGTGGATTTATTAGTTCTGTTGAGGTAAGATCTTAATATTCAACACTCTCAGAATTTTGTGTAAACTGCTATTCTTGATGGTTTCATAAGTGACTGTTGTATTCTCTTAGGGGATTAAATGAAATTGATGACAGTGACATTGACACATAATTCTTGAAAAATTTGCATTGTTCTTATTAAATTCACATTGTTTGTGGACTGACCAAAATAGTCATCAAGTAATTGAAGGTCTTTACTTCAGTGCATTAATCTAATTATTTTTTGGTCCATTTTTTTTTACTTTCATGTAGGGCTTGTGTTGTGGTTGATGATCGATTATATGTTATTGGTGGTCAAGAGGGTGATTTTATGGCTAAACCTGGATCACCAATTTTCAAGTGCTCTCGTAGGAATGAGGTAATTGTTTACCATATTGAAATTCATTGCCAATCAAGCATGCTTTTGAACTAAGGCTTTGTTTATTGTCACTTGGCTTCCGTGATGCGGGACATGTTCATGTTTTACAAAAGTTGATTTAGAACTCTGGATATCATATTGGACAAAATTTATGTTGCTTTCTGTCAGTTGATTTTTGTCAAACCAAAGGAGTAAAAGGTGAAAGAAAAATGAAAGAGTTTTATGACTATAGAGTTTGGATTTTACAGGTTGTATATGATGATGTTTACATGCTAGATGATGATATGAAGTGGAAAGTGTTACCTCCTATGCCAAAGCCAGATTCCCATATAGAGTTTGCTTGGGTTGTTATTAATAATTCTATAGTTATTGTTGGAGGCACAACAGACAAGCACCCTGTAACCAAAAAGATGACGCTGGTTGGAGAAGTGCTCCAGTTTCAACTAGATACACGGGTAATGCCATTTTATCCTCTGTACATTTTGGGAATTGCTATTGAACAAGTGCTCCTCTTTATTCTTTGATTGTAAACCCCGCTTCCCTCTTTCCTTCTGGGTGGGAAAACAGAAACAACAAGAACTGTTATATCTTTAATATAGTAATTGATGCTGACACGTCATTAAATTCATGTAGAATTGAAAAACCATATGTTCTTCACTTTTGGTTTCGGGGAATGGCCGAGTTTATAGTCCAAGGTGTGGGAACATGGAGCAGCATTTGCTGATTCAATTTTGTTTTCATCTTGGCAGTTATACTAACGATGCTTATTCCAAATGGGCCAGTAGATCGGCCAGACAGGCTTGAACATAAACCTTGGGGGTGAGGTGTAACAGATCTCAACACCTCACATGAGCACCTTGCTCCCCCCGCCCCAAAACAAATAAATAAATACACGTGCACTGAAATCTTATTCCATTCTAGAATGCTCAAGTTTTTGTGGAGTTTTTAAGATGACATCATCTCATTTATGTCTTCTTGTCTTAACATTGAGTTGCATTATTGAGACGGTTTGCCGGACCAGCAATTGAATATCTAAAACATGCATTCCGTTTCCTTAAAATTAGATTGTAATCTGCATTATTAACAGCGACGGATTTGTCTGCATGACCTAATTCTACTGTACAACAATTCTGCACTGCAGATTTATAACGCGTGATTTTAGTTGTTCCCAGTCATAATGTCTAGATCACACCATCGACTTTTTGGTAAACTGCACTTGGGGTCTTCTGAGTCTTGCAAAACAGCAACCTGGTCCCTTGATATTTACAAAATGACACGATGACCCCTTACTTTTAAGAAGGTGTGATGGGCAGATACCTGTGTCACAGAAATATTATTTCAGCAAAAAATCTTAGAATGCCAATATCATCCCTTATTCCTAATCCTAAGTGGAATGAGATAATCCATTTTCAAAATCAATCCTCATTGGACCAAAATAACTCACATCCAAAAACTCCTTATTGACAAAATTGTTCACCTATCCAAATGCCTCATTTTCTTATTCTTCTGTTTCCTCCCGTCTCTGTCTTTCTGTACATACACACAACCCCCTACCCCCTACCTCCACCCTACCCACGCACAAACCAACACCACAAATGGCCACCACACCACTAATTTCAATTTTTCCTTCTTTCAAATATCATTCTTTAACAAGTTAGCGATCTTGTTCAACTGTTAAGCTTGATACTTGTACATCCATAATTGTCTCTGTTACAACTCCGAACTCTGAGTAGTGGTATTCATACCTTACTTGGTTTATTTCAATTAATTTAAGCCACAATGGTTGCCTTTGTGGATAGACAATTTGATGCTGGCTATCGAAATTGACTTGAGGAGTTCAATGATTTTAATATTTTTTCTGCCCTACTATTGCTATTAATTTATGCATTTTAGTATTTGGGCATTTAGTGCCTCAAAAGCTGTTCGTATCACACGAATTGCTTCGGTAGCTTGAATCTCATATTTCATAAGCATATTGAATCTTGGTTATTCAGAAGCATTTATCATATTTTACACACGATAGCTCCTGATCTTTGTTTTACATGAAATTTTTGTGTGTCTAGTATTTATGGGACACATTGGGTACTAAGAATTATTGTAAAACACCCATTCTGATTTTTTGTTCCCTATATAAATGATGCCTGTGGCACCATGGAGTTTTCAAGTGAATCACATGGCATTTATCATTTAACAATACAAGGGTGTAATTTTCTGAATCTGGCACTATGTTGCAATGTCATGTTATGAGTCTTGACCTATGCCACCAGTAATAATGCAATTGAGTAGCTGCTGACTTTTTACTTTTGATGAACATAGATCACTATAAACCATCAACTATTATAATTTAGAACAGTGCATCTATAGCAGAGGAGAAAGCACCCACAAAGGGTTGAAGGGAAGCTCGAGAGGGGGCATATAGAACCACCATAGATGGGGACATAAGAAATCAAGTATTGCCTTAGGCAAGGATTGACCCCTTGATCTCTTAGTTGGCAAAATCTTGAGAGAATCAAGATTGACCAACTAGGTTAGGCCCAGTTGGTTCAAGTAGCTACAGACTTGTACATGTAAATATGTCAGTTGGATAACGTGGAACTGTTTCTTCTGACTTGATTGTTACTGGTTCCCTCTGGGTACTTTAACATCTTTTTGTTTTTGTTTGTGTTTGTGTTTCTAAACAATTGCAGAAATGGTCAGTGGTTGGAAAACTTCCTTTCCGGGTGAAAACCACATTAGTTGGGTTTTGGAATGGATGGTTGTACTTTACATCTGGACAACGAGACAAAGGACCAGATGATCCGGCACCAAGAAAGGTCATTGGAGAGATGTGGAGAACTAAATTGAGTTTATGAGCTATTTTCTGTTTGATTCTTTGGTTGATTTGGCGCCCATGTAATCATTTATTAGCTTATTGTCAATTCAAAATGTTGCTATTCTATAATCTCTTATTTTCGAACATGAAATGATAGGTTCTTTTCATTTCTGGTGGAGGATGGAGGAGGATTAAAGAATCCGCCAATGTTTGTCATTTGTAACCACTTACAACTCTCTATCTGCAGCAAGGGCAGTAGAGTGATATGAAAAAATATATATTTGCCACCCCATCGTCATTCTTAGGGGTGTTTGAATCGGCTCTCTCTCTCTCTCTCTGAATCTAGGAGATTTGGAAGTTTGCGAAACACTTGTGCTGTTAATTGCTGCAGATAATCTAATGGGACACAGAGAGATCCAGCTATAGTCCCTGCTATTACTCGAATATCTTGTGTGGGAGGGTTATTAAATAACATCCCTATACCAGTCATTTGAAAGCAAGGCCATCAAATCCATCAGTATTGATGATACGAAATCTTTAACAATGTAGCTGAAAATACATGATGAATTTAAAATCCACATGAATAAATAGAATCTTTTTATTCATTGATATGTTCTTACCCTGAGGAATCTTACAAAATATATTTATCCTTTTTCCAATTTTTAAGGGGGTGTACATAGGGTTGATGCTCGTTTTTTCAAACGAACCTAAAAAATTGTTTAAATTAGACTCATTTAAAAAAAAGTCAAGTTCGAGCCGAGCTCAAAACGAGTTAAACTCAAATAACGTGACTATTTCACATATAATCGAGCTGAGTTTGAATAATTTCATATATAAATTGAGTTGAATCTTATCCAAGTCGACTCAATTATCAACCCTAGGCATAGGCTTCACACACAACTCCTTCCTCACCATGGTTGCTGGAAGGCAATTGGATACCAATAAGGCCATGAGCCGGAGGAGAATTGGGAAGCTTTGAAACAATTTTTCCAACTTTAGTTGTAGGAATGACCCGTAAGAAGGATTCTAAGGTATTAAATATCGAAAGTCATGATCCAATCAAACTAAATTACGACTCCAACAGATCAAAATAAACAACTCAAGGGAATCAAGTTAGAATGGTGCAAATTTTTTGAACCTCATTAAAGTACAATTTTCCCCTCATCGAGTCATAACTCAACTTCATGGAGCCTTAATTTGTAATTTACCAACTTACCATGACAAGACTATGTATAAGCTCTAGAGAAAGTGCTTCAAGTCTTCAACACCCATCAGTGTTATTGGCAAGTCATCTTAGTTTGTGCTTAAGAAAACCTGAAAGCATCTCAAATAACTGGCTGCATCCCCTCATATAGCTGCATCAAACTAGTTTCACTCAAAAGGATCATACAAGGCAGCAAATTAGACCTGCATCGTTTGTAGTTGCATTGCATACACATAATCAGGATTCAGGAAGCCGTCCATCACAAAGAACCTTATGCAGTCGCGTAAAAGTGGGCATGGAAAACCTTCGACTTCTTAGTCCTTCTAACCACAACAATAAACTAGTAGCTCGCTCATTCCCAAAAATTGTTGATTTGGACTACATTTTCCAATGGCGTTTATTTTGCAAGAACCTTATAAACGGTTGCAGGGGCTCGGGATTTGTTGCAGCATAGCAGTGTGCCAACACCTCACTCAAAATTTTGTTTTGGTCAATCTGGTTCAAGAACTGTCAAAGGAGCTACATTTGAGAGCTAGTATTTACGATATTCACATATCAACAAGCTAGAGTGCATCACATTAGCTTCCTCCCTAAAGCTGAAGCACAAGCTCCACAAGGAAAAGCTCTCCATCAAACCTCAACCCAGCTGTTTCAGCAGAATGAAGTAATCCATCCACCATTCCACCAAACATGTACAAGTAGCGTCCAGAGTGATCTGTGCAAGCTCGATGAAATGACCTGCAATTAGGTTTATAACCCTTGGACTTGAGCCTTCTCCACATGTTTGCTAATAATTTCTTTGAAGTAACAGAAATGGGCTGCATTTCAATGGATGATGGCATCGAACTGAGATCCAAAACCCAAAAGTCGTCTTTTCTATGCCTGTAAGAATCTTCCCCTCCATAAATGAGCACTCGACCACCTAAGATAAGGGTGGCTGAGTGGCCAACTCGTGGGAGGGAAAGTCCTCCTGGGATATTTTGTAATTCAAATAGTAATTGCACCCATCTCGAATGACCTTCAGATGTATCAAAGAGCCAGACATCATCAAGCACCTCATAACCTGATCCCCTCCCTCCAAATAACACTGTTTGGTTTCCCCCAATACAAGTTAATGTGTGCCCTGAACGAGCCGAAGGTGATGGGTGAGTCACGATTTCCCGCCAAGTACCAAAAGAAGGGTTTTCTGAGAAATCTAAAGCCCATGTGTCACCTAGTCTAAGGCCATACAATCCAATCCCTCCATGAATAAGCATCCGCTTGCTATCAATACAACATCCAGCATGGGCTCCACGTGGTGGTGGGGCAACGGAACCCACATCAAGCAGCCTCCAGGACAATGTCATACCGCATGTCTCGTGTGATGTTATTTGCCCTATCCATGTATCGTTTTGGCGGATACCTTTGTCGTTGATCCCTCCAAAGAGAACAAGAAAATCACCAATCACAACACATGAATGCCCAAACCGCCCACTGGGAATGCCTGCATTAATCTTTTGCCACTTCAATATTCTCCTGAAATCATTACCACTATATGCTATCCATGTGTCATCAAGGTGGCGTCCTAAAAGGAGAGGAACAGAGAACGTTAAATCCTATAAAAAAAACAAAGTAGCATTGAAAGACCAGAAATCAAGTTTAAAACAGAACTTGTTTCCTTGCTTAAAAAATGATGGCATACAATACCAATCATTTTCCACAGTGAGTGAACAAACCCTGGTTTTGATTTCGATCCAGCTTTAATAAGTTGATGGTTGCAAAAGAAACCCATTAAGTGGTATTTACACGCAATTGAGATGTTTGAAAATGTATTTGCTTTTACTCTTTAAGAAGCCCCAAAAAACACAGCTGAGGTCAGGAGACATGTTCACCAACTTACTTCAAAGAGGCCTTCCACAACAGTTCTGGATTTTTAACCGCCCCACTATTATTACCTTTATGGCAAGTGATAATTTTGTTTTAGCAGCAGCACATGTTTTTCTTGTTTTTCAGGGTCACAATGAGAGAGAAAGAGAGACAGAGGAGACTATTATGCAACAGGAGTCTCAGTACTTAAACAATTGCCAACAGTTACATATGTATTTTCCTACATTGCACACATACGTGTTATCGCAGACTAATGCATTTTCAAGGTTGTGAGCATATGTAGATTGACCATATATACACCATACCTGTTAAAGAAAGTTTTTATAAAACATACAAAACAGGGTGGCATTACAAATGAAAGAAAACTATTTTTCCGCACACACACGTACCACTCTATGGATTGACATATTGTGGCATAGCAGCGAGAAAAGGGGGTAGTGGTGAGGGGTTCGAATCCTACCTACATCAGCCAATCAAATAGTTAAACACAGAAACTAAGTAGTCAAGATGGGTGAAACTCAACATCCCAAACTACAACACTGTGAATTGTTATATACAACTCCAGGAGGGTAGGGAATTGTAGCAGCACCAACAATGAGATCAAAATTTTCCCAGAAAATGTAAAGTGGTAACTCAATGATGAGTTTTGAGATTCCAAGAATCACCTTAAACTGCAGGCAGTCAGCAGTCAACAATGAGTTGAACAAATTATCCTCCGACTCTCCCTCTAGTTACTGATCCTTGTTCAATAAAAGCTTCACTGCTTGTTTCAGTATTTTCAACGTTTAGACCTACCATTACTCTTTTTCCACAAAGTGTTGGGAGTCTAAAATTTTTTTTTTAACAAGAATGATCTTGAACCCACTTGATCTGCTTGCTTTCTACTTGGAAAAATGTCAAAAAGACAAAGAAATTGTCCTGTGAAAGATCTACACATAAATAAGTCGAAGTATACAAAAAATAATGTGATGCCAATTACAAGGACTTTCTTCCCACTTGTTTAGCGAAGTAGTTGAGACTAGCTCTTTGCAAAAAATGGCTCATTGACTACGCCTCAAAATTCACACTCATTATCCACAAATTGCCTGCCCTAGTATTGAAAATCACAACTGTGCACTTTCAATCAAAGCATTTTACCACACGCTTAGTCAATTATTCCTACTTGATTCAAATCCAAAACACCCAAAAAACTGAATTACATATGGATTTAACTATAATAAACCGAAAAATCAAAAAATTTCATTCCTGACTGAAACATACCAACTAATACATGTTGATTTAAACCATAACTACTGCACCCATTTGTATAAAACACAAGCAGACCATAAATATGCAAGCTTGGAAAGAAATGAAAACATATCAACAAACAAGCAAAGAAGTTTAAAGGCAACCATCCAAGTTTCAGAACAGTTATAATCGAATCATCAGAAGCAAATATTCAATAAAAAAACAACGATGGGTATGGGAAAAAAACTAACCTCCCTCACAACCCCCACCAAACAAAACCAGAAACCCAGACACAAAATTGAGGGAATGAGATGCTCTGGGCCTTGGGAACCCCTCATGATCATCTGGGTCAGACAGTTTATGGCATGTGACAGAGTCCAGTTGACAGACCTGCTGGTAAAGCTTCTTCCAAGAAAGCTGCTTGGCATCTGCAGGGAGTTTGAGGGCATCAACACAGGAGTGACCCCAGTCTCTCCTGCAGATGGATTCCCACAAAGAGTCCGAATATGCGAGAGACCTAAATCTTCTGCTAGTCATTGAAAAGGAGAGGATTGATTCTATGGGAAGATGGAGAAGAATTGAAAATAGGTGGTCTTCGGTCATGTGGGTTATTGGAGAGGACGATGACGATGATGATGATGATGATGATGATGATGATGATCCACAGTTTATGGTGGTAGTGATGCTAGTGTTACTGCTCTCTGCCATGGAAGATCTTTGTTCTTTGCTCCGATTGTTGGGATTTCTGTCTCTGGTTCGTAGGGCAGAACTCATTTTTTTCCCCTCAATTTCACCTTTTGCTTTTTACCTCTCTTAACTGTTGTTCTATTTTTGTTTTCTTGGTTAGTGTAGAACTGTAACTTTGTTTTAATCAACCAAACTTCCTCATCAATATAACAACAGGTTTGAATAAAGCTGAAAAAAGTAGCACTGTTGGCTTTATCCATGATTGAGAGTGCCCCTGCCCCTCAGAGTCTAAAAATGCAATAATACTTATTGGGACCTCTTTATCTATTTCATTTACAGATAGGGATGTAGTGCATTATTATTACTGGATTAACAGCTGATTTCACTGTAATCTATAGAAAATAGTAGATAAATTTTGTTGGGTCAGATGATTAGTTCCATATAACCTTACCCTTAAAAATGAGCATCATTAACTTTTTGTGAAGGATTAATCCTTCAAGGATACATATTTTTTCAATAGTAAAATTGCAAGCTTTAATATTTTTTTGAGGTACATATTTTTAAAGCTAAAAACGCTGTATGTTTAGAGCTATCAAAGTTGTTTTGGTTAGTAATTTCTCTGATAAAGATTGGCCAGGGTCTCTTTGGCTAATGATACCTTGATCCTGAAGCTTCAGAGTATCTTTTTGTTAGACACCTCTATTTGTAAGGGAAATTCACTGTTAATAGATCTCATCCAGTGTCCCCTCTTTCCGACCCTTTTCATTAATGTTGGTGGAGGCAACAACTTGCCTTGTGAACTATTGAGGTAGATTAATGTGTTTGGAACTAAAATATAAAATTATGGGAATATTTGATGAATCGACATTTGACAAATTTGAAGTCATTAAAAAGAGGCTATGTCTATGTAATAGAATTCGAATAAAGGTGAAAAATGATCAACCACAACTTTGTTTCAAAAAAGGAGATAACTGTCTGAGAGTTATCAGTAAAGATAATGTCGTCAAAAATAAAGGCTATAAAAGGCAGAGAAGGAGGAAGTTGAAGGACACATTCAAACCTCAACAAGACCTGCGATTTAGACATTTTTAGGAGTAGTGTTAAGTTAGTTTTAGGAAGTAGTTATTGTTGTAATCAAGGTTGTTAATTTAGTCTTTTGTAACTAAAATCCCTTCAATTAGATTAATAAAGGAATTCTCTTTATTAGTTCATAGTTCTATGTGTTTATCATTTTAAATTTCATCCAAGGAAGTTCTGAAATAAAACAATTGAACTCATCACTAACAATCGCCTGAAAACTACCTATAGATTGAGTTCCCTTCGCCAATAACAACAGATTTTGGAGTAACAATCTTTTGGCACGCCCGGTGGGACAACGTTCTTTACTTGGATCAAGAAAAATGGTAAAAATAAGGAAACAAGATGAGATCGTGTTTGGGACTAATGAAGCTGTGGAAATGACGCTAGCAAATGGCAATCGTGAAGCAAGTTTGAGTACCAATCCAGTGGAGCCTGCAAATCCAGGGAATGGCCAAGATAGTTTGTAGATGCAAGAGTTTGTGCATAATTTAAAACAAGTATTGCACAATCTCAATTCTGGCATTAGGCAAGAATTAGTTAATGTCATGCATGAGTTGATGAATGTCCATACACCAATATCAAAACCAATTAATCAGAAATCAAATAATGCAATTAGGAACTAAGTGGTGGAGGAAGGAAATATCGGTCTTGAGGTATTTTCTGTAGAAAACCAAAGACCACCAGCAATCATTAATAAAGACTAGATTTATCACATGAAAACCACTTTAACATTGTGTTTGATGGGGATCCTGTTGAAGTATTCTCAAATTTCTTCCCAAAGAGAAATCCTAGGAGAAGAAATGGGCCAATGATGGCCCTTGAGTTTCTTAGAAGAGGCTATGAGAGGCATGTCATGCCTCTAATGGAATCCATAGAAGAATTCAATCTAAGAAAAGGGGGACAACCCTTCGACCAAGTTGAGCACATTGAAGGCCATCAAGATATGACTTTCAATAGAAACCAACTAGTAGAAATGATTCAAGACCTTTATTGTCCTGGCCTTAGAAAAACAAAGAGGCACGTGTTTAGAAAACCTTACCCACCATGAATTGACTATGAGAAATTTTCAAAGGGATATAAGATCCCAGAGTTTCATCTCTTCTCTGGTAAAGAGAATCAGTCTACGGTAGAACACACAGAAAAGTTCACTTTCCAATGTAGAGAAGTAAAAAACAATGAGAATTTTAAAATGAAGTTATTCCCACGATCGTTAACCAGAACAATCTTTGCTTGGTTCATTAACTTGCTTGCTAATTCAATCCAAACATGGCAAGAGATGGAAGAACAATTTCATGCTCAATTCTTTAGAAATGAACCAAAAGTGTTAATGGTAGATTTGTCAAGGCAAAGGCATAAATCGAATGAATCTGCAGAACAGTATATTGACAGATTCAAGAAGACTGAAAACAAATGTCATGTTTACTTGCCTGAAGTGGAGTTAGTAAAGTTGGTCTAGAATGGTGTAGACTTTGAATTAAGAAATAAATTCAAACGAATGGAGTTCAGAGATCTTTTTGAACTCTAAGCTAGGGGTTACTAGATATGAAATTTTGCTTAGAGAACAACAATAGAGGAAAAACAGTTCATTAGGAACTTATTTTCAAGACTTTGATGGAGAAGTTGAGATAAATATGGCACAAATCATAGGGAAGACACCAATTATGTGTGATACCCTAAAAAAGATTGAAGACCCTATCGATATGCCATCCAGTCATCCTTTTAAAAAAGAAGCACCTCCAACCTCTAAGTAGTATTCATTTGAGTGGTTGATGACTGATGCTTTCTTTGATGAGATGATCAACCAGAAATTCATAATCCAGGGACATAGTATCCCACTAGAAACAAATAGAAAATGGAAAGAATACTGCAAATGGCATAATTCATTTAGGCATTCAACTAAAAATTGCACCACCTTTAGAAATTGTGTACAAGACTTAATCCAATAAGAGATGCTTAAATATGCCACAAAAGAAGAAGAAACCATGGGAGTAGATAAAGATCATTTCCCCAAAGAATTAATTGTTAATATGGTTTCTACTAATGTGTAGAGAGACAAGAAGGTTGTCAGTTTGTTGGTTGGCACAAAAAAGAATTGTTCCCAATATAAGAATGCTAGTTCACAGTAGGCTCGGACCTAGAGAAGAGGGGCCCCTAGTTATGTGCTTCAAATGTGCTAAAGAAATAGTTAAACCAGATGCAATACCACTTGGTGATGTGGTAAGAGAATTCAACGACAATGGGCTCCAATTCAGCACCAGATATGAAAGGGATATGTAGATCTATAATGGCTATCAAAAGATATTAGATGGTGCAGACCCAAACATCTTTCAAATGAAGGAAAGATATCGACCTGATCCCCATTAATTCCCTAACACTAAAAGGGATGCAAGGGGCACTAACTACCAACGTCAAACTAGGAGGAGAAAAAGAATACAAGGAATGGATCACTCTATTGGACCATCGATGGCCAAAGAAACTATCTAGAAGAAAATCAAAAGATGAGAATGCTAGGAACAACAGACCTAAAAGAGGAAAGGAAGATTTGAAATAACCATAAAAGTTGGGTCTAGAACGACCCAAAGTTCCCATCTGGAGCATGATAATAGCCACTCAACAAAACTCAGAAGAAAAAGAGAGCAGAGGAAGCTTGCCGCCTGGATAAGCGGGCAAAATCCAACTCCCCTTGAGTTCTATTCAAGGCCAAGTCCATCGATGGGGAGGAAAAACCCCACATGGACAAAAGAGCAACAAAAGGAGATCAAAAAGGTCCAGATTAAGCAAGACCTCCTAGATGAGAAGATTTATGAGTTTAAATAGATATTGGATCTGTCTCAAGGACACACAGAGAAAGTGTTAGCAGATTCATTAGAAAAAGGAACAAAGAAGATGGAAGAAGATAAGGGCATGTTTTCAAATGAGGAGTTGATGGACTTTGAAGATATAGTCCTTCCTCAAAGATGATGCATCATGCAATATGATATTGGCTCTACCAGAAGCATTCAAGACTAAACCAGGACAATCAAGTCAATTGGTAGGAGATGTGGAATACAACACTAAGTCAATAGCAGTGTTTGCAGAAACTGTGAAGCAGTTTAGACCTGATGGAAGGTCTATAAGCATAGAGCAAAGAGACTAGGGGCAGATAGAGTGGTATTGCACCCTCTCAAGAAAAAATTATCCAAGCATCTAAGACCATAGTACATACAAGCCCATATCGATGGTCAATTAGTTAGCAAAATTTTGGTTGACAATAGGGTAGTGGTTAATATTCTACCTTCAAGGATGCTGAAAATCCTAAAAAAAATAGAAAAAGACTTGATTTATACTGATATCACAGTTAGTAACTTTGTAGGAGGATCCTCCTCTACAAAGGAGTTTTTGCCTACGCAGCTTCAAGTAGACAATAGGAACACCACAACAACTTTCTTTGTTGTAGATTTCTCATCTAACTTTAATGTTTTTCTTGGAAGAGATTGGATATATGTAAATGGTTATATGCCATCATCCTTGCATCAAGCTCTAATCTTCCTATTAGAGAGTGATGATGAGGGAAGCTAGGGGATGAAATTGCATTAGACAGATGTCAATCCTTTCTATGCAAATGCACACAATGTGGAGGCCCACTTCTATCACAAGGATCTGACCTCAATTGCACAAAACAGTGGTGCAAACCTATTTGATAAGGGTTTTGAGGAGAACTTTCATCAAATTTACCATGATATGGGCAGGCTTGGCTTCTTACAGCCTAGGATTGAAGGTGAAGAATTTAAAGGTATCAATGGATAGAGCCTACAAGGGGGCCTTGGAGTGGCAAAATGACTATCATTAAAGCCACATTAACAAGGTTGTTTGCATATACCTTGGAAGAAAAAGTGAAGGCATTAGGAGATGCCTCTATCAATTGGGTTGAGTGTGTGTTAGAAGGTTACCCAAAGAATGTAAACTAAGAGATAGGAATAGAGAATCTTCAGTCTGCACCTGTGAATTCGAATAATGTAAATGGAGATGTTCAAGACCCTTTGGAGGAAGTAAACTTAGGAGATGAGGCTCATAAGAGGCCTATCTACGTTAATACATCCCTTGGGGTTTACTTCAAACGAAAATTGATTGAATTATTATAAGAATTCAAAGACTATTTTGCATGGAATTATGAAGAAATG